CCCCTCAGCAGTGTACTTCGTCGATCTGCCTGTTCTGCTCCCCACTCTGTCTCTGGTGAAGCCTCTCACCACCCCTGAACCTCTGGCCTATACCCCAGTTCTGTAAGCACAAATAAATTGATCTTTTAAAAAAAAAATTGCAAAGAATCCAAATGTTTCCTATAGAATGTTGTATTTTGAGTATACTCTGCACTTCAAAATGCCTTCTTGAATAAGCTTTTGCTACTCAAAAGAATATTTTAAACTATAATGCATAAAAAATCCTTGACAGTAGATAAAAATGTGAAGTTACTTGAACAGTTTTACTTTATTCAACTATATTTTTATTTTTGCCTACCTCTCAGAATAAATTTAAAGCCATTAATACATGACCCAATTTATACTAACATTGCTAAAAACTAAAATCTGTATATTTATTGACAAAATAAAAGTAGTGAATGTGATACAAGCAAAAAAAAATAGTAAACTGGAACCTAACTGTATTCTAAAATTAACAATAGTATTTAATTAAGCTTTTCCAACTTCTCATTACATACATATATCTACACAAACTGGGGGTGAGGAACTAACACACACAAAAAATAAAAAATCTCTCTACTGAAAACACATTAAGTCATGAATGGGGGAAATTTTGGAGTTCAGCCAAATCTCTCCATCTGTGAATATCAAGTTTCTCATGCAGTTATTTTCTAATGAGAATATCCAGTCTTTGCAAGACCACACCAAAAAAAAAAACACCCTCAGCTCAATTGTGATTAAAACATTATACTTAACAACAAAACAGTTCTACAGCCACAATGATTTACATGTGCTTTGATAAAAGGTTAAGCTTCAATTAGCTGAGCAAGCAACAGTCAGATTTTTCAATCAACCCTTTGTGCACTCCAATTAGTAATAGTTCTTTCGTGCTTGATGACCTCAATAACTGCATAAAATAGAATGGACTAAGGATCTGATGTTTGCGCAGATATACCCTAAAGACATTTTTGCTCTTTTAAAAATATTCACATTCTGCAAAATGGCAGTGAAAAGGGGAAGAAGTAAAAGAGAAAGGAGGTGAACTAGGTTGTGGCACTGAAGCTTTGATGGAGGCAGTCATGTTCACATATGGAGGGATTTGGTTGACCTCCAAAATTAGTTAAACTAGTGGCAAACCAATAAAACTAAAAAACAACAGAGTCAGCATAAACCACTGAAAAAGAGCCATGCAACTTTGTCAGAGAGCAATGACAAAAACATTGACACCTAGAAAAATACGTTGGATTGTTCCGGCAGGTTGTTTAACTCATCTGGGAAGCTACCATAAGAATATTTTAAAAAAACATACACACATCAAAACAAAAATGAGGGGTAGTCAAGTGAAAAAGATAAAAGAACTCTAGAGCCAGAACTCTTGAGAATGGTTACTCAAGTGGGTGCCTTTAGTAAGTCAACCACTGGGAAGAAAATTTCTCTGGGAAGACTCCATCCACAAGTACTCTTACTTAATTTTTCCATTCAAAGCTAAAGTGTTTATGCTAGGGCAGCAGCCACCAGGCTAACACCACCTCCCCTATCCTACTAGTCTACTTCCCCTTAGCTAGGAAAATATTTCACATGAAGAAATATAATTTTTGTGTCCAACTGACACAAGTTTTGCAATATTATACAGAAGCACCAGATCTTTATGTTTGGATTTCAAGAATACAAAGACTAAATAATTCAATGTTCGGCAGTAAGGTTTTCTAGAAATTCCAGTTTCCTTAATTACCCAATCTCAATCTGCCACTGAAGCTTATCTAGGGGATTATAAATATCTTTATTACATGCTCAGTTGTTAAGACAGCTTTCAATCCTTAAAAAGCACTTAAACATTTTCTAAATGGTTTCCTCTATTATAGTTATACAAAACAACAATTAATAGTCTAGGTTTATGTATAGAGATGTAAACAGCTGACCCTAAGTGCAATATTTTATCTTTTCCATGAATTCTTCCAAGTACTTACTTATTAAGCAATGTATGTTACGCGAGTAACGAGAATTGTCTGGAATGGTGAAGGTGCCATCACAAATAGCAACCTGACTTTCACCAAAAGGAAGAGTAAAGAAACAAAGTTTATACAGTAAACATCCCAGTGCCTGTAAAACAAAGAAGCAAAGAAACAGAGTGACATCGAAGTTTAATCAAACACAAAATATAAATCAGCACAAAACCATACATGTTACTAAAAACAAGTAAAAGCCTGCTGTTTCTATACTGGATTAATCTTTTCACAAATTACTACTGAAAGAAATCCATGTGCTTGATTTTTGAAGACATTTAATTCTACCATTTCTGAATTTCTCTATCACACATATGACAAGATGGCTGAACTGATGTTATCACAAAATGCTGTATCATAAATGACTAAAATTAGAAGTAACTGATTCCTTCTGTGAAAAAAATTATAGTTCTATTTCTTCCAAGAGGAATATATGCATTCAAGTTTATTACTAGCATATAAACAACCAAGAAAGTACAAAGGTCCTTCAAGCATTGTTTTATAAAAACTCACTGCAAAATATTTTTAAATCCCTGGGGCTCGAATTATGACTCAGACAGCACAATTAAACTTATCAGACACATCCACGTATGTACTGATTAGTTAGTGAGTACATGTCATTATTTCATAGTATATAAATTGACTTCTCTTTCTATGCAGAATCTTACCATTTTACTCTACAGTATATTAATTAGATTTGTACCTGAGAAATCAATATTAAAATTCTAAGAGGAAGGACTCTGTCTACTTGAGTGACTTCACAATTACAAATCTAATCATGTATGGGAAACAATGTAGCAAATTTCTAGCTAAATGGTTCCAAAACTAAGAAGCAGTTATAAAATGTGAATTTTGGCTCCAGAAATCACTGCGTTGTCACAAGAAATGTCACCTACAAGTCTTAAGAGTGTTAGGAACACGTCCAGTTCTAAAAAGATTATAAAAAATTATCTAATCCTTAGTATACATTTACATGTATAGGCAATATTAAAATTGGGCCTTATCTAAAAACTGTCAAATCATCTTTGATATTAGATTTTTTAATCTACACATAAACCACATAAACACATTAACAAACACACTATATTTTTAATTTACTATGAAAATCACAATATATAACATCTTGAGTTCAATAATGTGAAATTCAAAACATTATTTTTAATATTACAACAGTCTTTTGATAAATGCATAAGAAGGCTCCATAAATTTCAAAATATTTGTCTAAAACATTAGGTTATTATTTAGGACTAACCTCTATTAAGACTCTGAATATAAATAACCTCTTCAATGCAGTTTTTTAAATGTATTTTTAAATCTATAATGGATAAATTTAGCATTTATGCAGCAATTAAGCAATTAAGCATGAGGGTCCCTTAAAAAGCAACAATTAAAATTATTTAAGAAGTTAAAATATATACGTTAAAAGCAATAAAGTTACTATTAATAGTATAAAATCTATTAATGTGTTAAACTTTCTACTGTCCAAGCAAAAGAAATCTACCTTTCAGCAAATTTTTCCTTGTCAATCAAATTTTTACTAATGTGCCCTTAATAAGAATAAATTTTGAAGTAGTTACCAGGTTAACAATTTTACATAGCAATACCAGCATAGTTGAAAACATAATTCTAAAACACTCTGCTTCACACAATGAGGTGTCCTATTTTTTCCACACCAAAGGCATTTTCCTCTGTATCCATTTGACATATAAGAAATGTTCAAGAAACAGGAGGGATCCAGTGACCTGATTTTGAAAGCTTAGTATCACCATCTTCAATTTTTCTCATTAAAAGGTAACATGAAGCATCTTTTGCTGAATTTCCTAAGATTTAACAAAGTCAGCAACCTACATCAAGATAAATTTAACCTACAGTGAAAACTTCCAAGCAAAATAATATTGTTCCCAAAATGCATTAACTGAATAATCTCAACATTCTAACTCTGAATCAATATTATCCTGAGATAAGGTCAGAATATCATTTTTGACCAATATAAATTTAGCAATTTTTTCCCTGGATTTTGATTTCACACCTAAAATGGGGGAGCATACAGCTATTTGTTATTCCAAAGATATACCCAGGTATCCATCACAAAAATAATGCTCAATATAGTAAACTATAAAGGGTGAAATTTTTAAATATGTAACTGACAACTTAGTATGTTGCCTGAGTGAAAAATAAGCTAATAAGTGGTGTCATCATCTGTGTTAAGATAGTGGATAAGGCCCTCCCTGGTGGCACAGCGGGTTAAAGCACAGCACTAAGAAGCTCAAGCCACTTCCTCATGAGTTTGATCCCCGCCTGCCCCAGAGGGGACCACATGGCGTGGCAGACCTCTCCTGACCCGCCCGCTGCTCCCCTCAGCGGTGTACTTCATCGATCTGCCTGTTCTGCTCCCCACTGTCTCTGGTGAATCCTCTCACCCACCACGTCTCTGGCCTGTACCCCAGTTCTGCATGAATAAATAAATCAATCTTTAAAAAAAAAAGATTTAAGGACTAGTGTTCGGTGAGTGTCTGTATTTCAGAGACTCAAAAGATATTCCTTTTTTATTACCTTGCAAAAAATTTGGTATCCCAAACCCTGTAGCAGGAAGCCAAGAAAGGGGAATAAAGATAGAGCAGGAAGCCAAAACAGGGGACTAAAGAAGACTCATTTTGCTTCATTCACTATGCTTGACTACCCTCTGAACATTATGCTTTAAACACAAAATAAATATAACCTCTTTGTAAACTCTACAACTATTTCCAAAGGCACATTTTTTCCTGTACTGCTAATATAATTACTAGTGGTAGACATGGCTATTTACTAACTTAATGAATTAACATTTAAAGTACAATTGGCTGATAGTTTATTAAAACAACCAAAACATTTTAGTTATGAAGTAATAAGTTCCAGAGAGATATTTACATATTAGCTCCAAGTTTAATTACATAGAAACCATTACCTATCAACCGTATAGCACAGATATGTTAAATGAAAAAGGTCCTCAATAAAGTCAATCTAAATGTTTGTAATCGGAGAACAGTTTTACTCATGTTAGTTTCCATTAAAAAAATCCAAAAATATTCCAGAAAATTATTAATGCAATTACTTAAGAGGGTACAAGTTTTCAATACTGTGACAAACAAAATTCCATTCACTCAAATATGTTAACACTCATATAATGTAAATTCTGTAAACCACTGATTAAAAAATTAAATTACATGAAATCCTTTATTTTTTAATACATAAAATTTTCATCCTTAGCACTACTTACTCTATACCACTCTTTTGCTTACTAGCAAGTAAGTTTTCAAGGTCAAGGAAAATAATTAGTTGACAAATAATCAACTGAAACTCAAGAGTTTTAAAATTTGGCTAAAGGAAAGATCAGCATTTCTTGGCCTTACCCAGATATCAGCCTTGGTGGTAATGGGTTTCCCTCCATAAAGGTTGATCATTTCAGGTGCTCTATATGACAGAGTTGTATATCTGGCAATAAAGTGAAATAAGTGAATATACAACATTACTTCTACATAAAATATTGCAAAAAGCTTCTTGGCTCAATGTTACAGAGAAGTAACACTACTTTTCAAAGTTCATTAACAGTTCATCAAGAATTATACAATACAAAGCATCTATAAACATTTAACAAATAAAATGACATTGCAAATGGTAGAAAATTTTAATTTCCTATATAATAGAAAAATCTTAAATAGAAATGTACTGGAAACAAGTTTCCTTAAATTTCTATTTGCAACAATACCATGTAACTATAAAAATATCTTTATCAAAATCTTTTATTACTACTAATTCAAAGTAGAAGTAAAATCTAACATAAGTTAATTTTAAAAGCATAATCCAATATACTTTATGTTCTTACACATAGTAGTAAGTCTCTTTTAAATCTTTGTGACTGTTGCCTGAACAGTGACCTAGTTGCTGTGATTCTAAATATATAAATTAAATATACGTGTAATACTGACTGTCATAATAGCTATGGATTTAAAAGATACTATGTTCACACTATGTTTACCAACATATAATCCCCAAATCCATTATGAACAGAATATTTTAATGAAGTAGTAATTAATTTCATGACAGAAT